TACATTTGACTTTTTGGTTCCAGTTTTCTTATTAGTCTGAAGAACCGTCTTGTTGTTCCTGGAATCTAGTTTCGGCTTTCTCATCACTCAATTAAATTCTAATGTGTCTTCTTAGTATGGCTTTTCCGCGTCGAGTGAGGCGCAAGCAAGTGCGTGCTCGTATTATGGCATGATCAGAGTCTAAACATGTACTCCAGAACGAGCGGTAGTCTTCTATCGAGCCTCTCCTGCGATAACTGATGGCTATATGGTGTATTTGAGTCCATCGTTTGTTTGGTGCAGGGGGTCGCCATGTTAAACTATGTCTCTCCTTATGCTTTAAATTAGTGCTTGCTAAAAATAAACGATTGTCTGAGCACAGTTGCAACAGACGATCACCATTATCTATTCATTGAGCCAAAATACCCATCTAAATTTCCTTCTGTTTGGTTTAACCTACCTATATACCTGGGCATTAAATTCACCTGCTACGAGTACTATGTCTGAGCGTTTAGCTTTATGAAGAAGTTCAGAAAACTTTCTGTAAAAGCCATCTTTCACTTCATCCAGGCTGCAGTCAGTGGGAGCGTAGGCAGAAACGACGAAAACGCAACGACGTGTGTCCCTATTCTTCCAAATTCATACGCAGCCGTTTAGCCGAACAGCACATAGGCAACTGTTAACGGGAATCCACTCTAATAGTGCTTGTTCCGCCCTCGTACTTAGTGCTATGCCTACGACCGTCAGTCCACGAGAACTAATCATCGGATCGCCAGATACACTGAGGGTGTATCTCGTCGGCTCTCCGTTTTGCCGAGGTGAGGTCAAGTGAATGGCCACACTAGGATCCTGTATACGTGTTTCAGAGACGTAGCATACATCAATGGTACGAGGTTCTAGGGTCTTAGTCAAGGAGGCCTAGTGGCCGACTTGAATAAGGTGCGTACGTTAAAGGCTCCAATGTGTAGTTTGGAGGGAGGTTTCAGTAGACCTGGAACAGTTTTGCGCACTAGGACCGTTGGCCATGCTGACACTTGAGGAGGAAGCCAAAAGAGGAAGTCTAGTGTTGAAGGTCGATGTATGAGGAATTATAGGAACTGGAGGGGTTGGTGATGAATACAGTGGTCTTAAGGGCGGTTATCAACTCCCGGTTGCCCACACCGTGGACAGTTTCTTTTGGAGGTACCTGAAAGGGGAATTGGATTAAAGGTGGTCTTAGTGAACTGAGAGCGTGACCCCAGTGCCCAAAGGACAACTGCCTGAGATCGGTCACGAACGACGTTTTCGCGGGCAGGTTTTGCGTTAGCTGCGTACTTGTTGGGAACTTACCGACGGAGAAGGGAATCCACGGGATTTGGCGAAGCGTGCATTTTTTAGGTTGTCCTTTTCTAACCCCACCCTTCCTTTGTGGGAAGGCAGCGTCGCTGTTATGCTGGTTGTCTGAAGGAAACACCTTACTGCCGTCACACCTCTGTACAGTAAGAGTACGACTTCGCCTTCGGACCTTGGGTTTGTTGCTTTTACCGCTCTTCAACCGACCTGTCTGGCATGGTAGGACCTTGAGGAACGATTGTTGCAGCCAGTATATTTCGATTGCTTCATCACGATAGGCAAGCCCGACTACCAAGTCAAGGTAGCAACAAAAATAGTCCACTTTTCCCCTTTAGTCCTAACCCAGAGGTGTGGTGATCGTGAATGAACAATCTAGTAGTAGTGATTGTAAACGTTGAGCGATAGGTGTAAATTCGATGAATCTACATTTAAATACTCATAATTGCAAAGTACAAATAATAAACTACCGTATATATCCCTCTAAATAGTTTATCTTTAGAAAGCAATGATAAGTAATATTAGATAACTCTACCTACATATCAAGAAAAAAATATTGAGGAGTTAGATGTTATTGAGATTATCTGGAAAAAGGGCGTAACAGTTACTACCAATCCAGCAAATTAGACAGATAAGGATCCCGACCGTATCTGTTACTTTGATGTGGTGGTCGGTCTTCCCTATCGTGATCACTCAACCAAGCCATATTGGCTGGAACACATGTTCTCTTAGGTCCCACTATGCAGGCAGGTGGGTTGGGGAACGGTAAGGATAAAAGCAGCAACTTAAGGTCCGAGGCGAATTCATACCTCTGACGGTAGAGCGGTATGACAGCAGTCTCTCTTAGACAACCAGTGTTTTCAGTTGTGCTCCCCGTTTACAGCAGAAGGGTAGGGTTAAAAATGATCGACCTTAAAAATGTCACTCCTCACCATACCCCACAGATTTCCATCTCCGACGGTTAGGCATTTTAAAATGTGAAGCTAACTTACCAAATACGTCTCGTGCGCGACTGGCCTCAGGCAGTTGTCCCTTGGACTGTGTGGTTACGTTGACGGGTCTCTAAGATCACCACTGACCCAGATTCTTTTCAGATCCGTCAATAAGAAATACCCTTACATCGTGTGAGCAGTCAGGAAGTGACAACCGTCCTCATACCCTTAACGGCACCCCAAAATCATTTAATTTATGATAAAGCCCTTCGCTCAAATACTAATACTTCCAGTGTCCCCATGACTAACCATTCTCGCATATCTTTATCACCACGCGCCACAAATCCTAATGATTTGAGTCCACAAAATGTTATGTTGGGCTTAATCTTTGGGGATCGTACTAATATCCTAAGTACAAATTTATCTAGACGTGGTAATAAAACGTCCAGTCACAACCATACAAAAATAAACTTGTCAAACAAAATTTAATTTTTACAATAACCTCCCTGCTTAATAATTTGTTTCTTTGTGTGTTTTCAAAACCGGAGAAATATTCTGGAAGCGGAACATATTCCTTTTTTCCCTTGTTATAATCAAATATATGACGCATTTAGTGATAATAACTAACTTATGAAAAGTAGTATTGATTGAAGCTCAATGGGACCGTCAGAACAAACAACCGTTTGTCAATAAAATTTGTGGTTGCATACATATTTTAGAATTGAATGACAAATAGGAATGTGTAACCAAGTTGCACCTTAAAATGTCGAATTTTAGTGCCAACACTGTATTTCAAATTATCACTATTTACGTATTCGTAGGTAAAACATTCTTGTATTTTTAATGTTATGGATAATACATCACATAAAGTCAAAAATTATTCCTTGAATTGCATGCGATGACTTAGACAATTTCATTAGTAACAATATTTGGCCCGCTGATTATCCGTGATTTATCTGCTAAGTCTTCATACTGTTAGGCTGTTTGGATTAAGTAGTCCCAAGTTGACCAGTACTCTTTTAAAGAATGATTCACTTTCACCTGTATCGTTTAACTGTTTCAAAATCAGATCCCTAAATGCCTTATCTTTTACTATCTTACGATCTACATCATCACCTGTCTCTACTAATGTGAGGTTCCTTCCGATCCTGCAAACAATTCGAATTAAAGAAACGTCGTATTTTTCTTGAAATCTTTTTCACTAAGCGGGAACTGGACTTCGGTAGCAAACATTTAAAATATCTGGTTATAAATTCGCATTGCATTTAAAAAGCCGATATAATCTCACTGTAATCGCTAACTTGATCCAACAAGGCTGGCTTCATGTGTTACTTTACATGTAACTAAAAAAGTGGCCGAATAATATGGTTGTCAACTTAATCCTTGTGTAAAAGCATATGGTCATAACCTAGAAGCGTCGTAATATGTGATCATGTTTGTTCTCACGCTTTCTCCTACACCTATTGAGACTGCATCCAAGTTAAGAAAATAATCCAGTGTAGCTAAAAGATCAAATAACATAAAGACGTTGGTATTTTCAAAATACAGATAAGTCTGATAACTGTGTTTGTTAGTGCATAATACTCACTTATAGTCAGTGGATTTAGATTCCACGTTGAATGTCTCAGTACTGGACATAATTTGGTTCAACAACTACACTTTTGAATCAGTACTTTTGTACATATGAAGACAAATTCAATAGCATTATACTTGATCTATCACAGCGAGGGATAAGTATTAATGGTATCATAAGTGGCACAAATGGTCATATCGTATCTAGTTGTGTTAAGATCAAATGAATTCAGTGTTTTTTATTACAAATAACTCCATCAATTGGAACGTTTTTTGAGGGTTTTTATTTAATAAAATAATCCCAATTAAATATCTGCATGTTGGTACGAGTTGTTAAGATTTTTCGACATCACAGAAGGCATGTTTAGAACTCACTATTTTATTTCTCCTGTATTGATAATCTACGCCAGATAAGCATTTTATTTGTTAATTTAGTCTCATTGTTTGGCTGGAATGTTGCCACTACGTTCCAAATACAACGTTTACTGTCATTAACTGTCTTCAGAACAATTCCCTTTCTTTGTGATTACTCATGAGGTTAAGTCACCAAATGAAATGTCCCGGACATATTCGATTTATCCTTACCTGTCATGACAATAGGTGCCAGGAAGCTGGAAAAAATGCATAGTGTCCAGACAAAAGCTGCTAGGAACTAGACACTTCCTACCGGTTGCATTTATACCAATAAAGTAAATCCTACCCGCATCACTTGCAAATTTTAGACAACTGGATAGATCATTAACAAATCTCTTTACAATATCTAGTTTTTTATGCCACCTCCCCTTGAATCAATGCAGTTGTACCACATGACTGAGTTAATAACATCATCAAATTATCTCTTGATATGATTTTTTAATTCAAGCTATTTATATTTTGGTACACTATTTTATTTGCGTAATCTAATTTGTGGGAAAGTTTAACTATAAATGAGGCAACTCCTAGTGTTTCCCGGCAGTTTTATTTTATTCAACTTAAAACACATTACGTGCAACATGTGCCTAAATGGAATAAGAGCATCTGGATTGTAAGCAAATGTGATATTTATTCGTAAACGACTTATGATTATTGGAAATCCATCAATTTAACTCGAGTTGTTCGTAAGTTTGCAAAACAGTGAACCAAATACTGAAGTCTTTAATTCAAATTCACTGATAAAAAACTTACCTGTTTCTTTTTCTTTCCACAAAGTGATACTAATGTGATTTACAAATGTTCAGTTACTACTCTTTTGTTATGGTATTTCACAATGCTTATACCTGTAAATTTGGAGAATAAGCTACTCTATAGAGAAATAATAATGTACAATATTCTCGTTGTGGTTTGCTTACATCTTGTGCAAATTATACGAAATATACATACACGCAGTCTTCACCATACAATCCTGTCAAGTTAGTTTGCTTTTGTTTGTAATTTGTTAGGTAGGTAGATTTAGCTGTAGGAAGTTTTCTTTGGCATATATTTGTGACCCTCAAGAAGTTTTAGTGCTACTAATGAAGCAGGTAATATGGAGTACAAATCTGTGACCATTCGGTTAAAATCTCGACATTAAAACCACCTCTAATTTTTAGCCATAGTTGATGTGTAAACAGAGTATCTATGTAATCCGGTGGTCAACCAAGGCATGCTATTCTAACTTGTCCACACTAAGTGGAATATTAGTATAGGTCGGAAGTTATACGCTGACTAAATGAAAACCGCTAACGACTGAACTAAACAGTGTGAATAGAGATAAACAATACTTAGACACATTATCATCTGTTGATACAAGTCATCTAAATTTCGTGTATACGTGCGTGGCTTACATTGAGACCAATACACGGAATTTATTGACAACGAAAGGCTACTTACCTAAAGTGATCGCCTTTAGAGGTTTTAGGAAATGCAACGTAGTCCTGGTAAGTGTAAAAGACTAAAGGAATCTAGAAACCTCAGTCGTAATGAGGCATCGTTGAGAAGGCTCTCCTTCCAGCATCGAAATCCATTGTAAAACGAATCGACTTAAATAAATAGCTACGTTAACCCAAATATTTCGGGTTAATTCAAATGTTTTATACACTGATGGGTTTTAATGGAGTTACACCTTGACAATCTATGTACAGACGTCGAAATTTTGGGATCATTACGTTGGCTATAATTACGTGAGATCCCTCATGGGTTGATATGCTCTAAAATTTGATTTTTGTTCTGTAATTTTTATACGAAAAATTCCCTTACAAAAGAATGTTTCTGTTACGTCAAATATTTGTTATTAGATTCCCAATATCTTGGAAATAAACCAGAGAAAAATGGAAGTAAGCTCACTGTATTTGGGTTATGGAAACACACTGTATGTATATTTCGTGATACTAATGTGAGTGACGTTTGCTTTTTCCCATTGGCATAGTTCAAAGGTCGTCAGTTAAGTTTTTTAAAAGTAGAAACCGCAAAACCACCATTTTATGTTCTGGGAGTAGCTGGTTAGCAAATATTAAAAGTTTCAGTGCAACACACGAGTCTCTATACATGAGCGTATATGAAACGCATACATAATATCATCTATATGTATACATAGAAAGTAACCAAACGCTTAGAAAAATTATATGACCCAAGTTGAAAATCAAATCGTTTAGCAAATATTTCACCTCAATTACATTGCGGAACCATTTACCATTGATTTATTTTGTGCAGTATACACATGTTTTTGCACCGACAAGTAAAGTGATCAGGTCAAATTGATTGGGGTTAGTCGTCACCTAAGAATTAAAATTTTCAAGCTTCACGAGATCACTAATTTAATCTACAGAGGTTATGTTAAAAAACGTAGTCAAAAACCTCAATTACTTGATATTATGATGGAAACACGCTGTTTCAGGTGACATATCTGACTAGTTGCTGAATTTCATGGTTAGAATTTCTGAGTGGCGGCGCTGTCCACTAGGTTATCACACCCTAAATTCCCTATCGTGAGAACCCATACGGCGTGCATTTTTTCACTTAAATTTCGCAGATTATTGCAAATGATATTCATTTCTCCAGTTTGGATGTTGAATCATATATTCAAACCTAATCATTTGTGATATCACTAATTGCTAAGTGAATAACACTGCCGCTTTAACATCACTTCGATATACAAATCGATGAATTGTTTAAATGGCCTTCACTTCATGACATAGTTTTGTTATCTGATGTACTCACTCATACATCAACCATACTAGAAGTATTTGCAAACCTACACCTCACTTGTATTCCATGCCTATCAACCTGAATATGAGGCACTACCGCATAACATAAACTGGGGTTATTCACATCGTACGTTAACCTAAGAACTAAATCTTGTGGAGGAGTATATATGCAACAATCAGATACCAGTCCTCGAAGTTACTTTCGAGTTGGCCCAAAGTAAGTAAAAAAATCCATTGTTAATAAAGAAATGATACAATTTGTCACATTTCGCGGTTCAATCCAAATCTGTTTAACACTGACTCTTGAAACCCGTACACTTTGTGCACTACAAAAAATTATCTGAAGAGTTGTGCATTAAATTTATTTAATGAAATCCTTTTGCTTTTATCGTTTATATATCTTAAGAAACAAAATTTCGAAGGAGATTGGTATTTTTCGTGTATGAATATATTTGTCAGCAAGTCTAATCGTGCTTGGTCCATCGTTTTACTGACTGTTTGTGTTACGCTCACTTTCTACTCTACTAATTTAGCCCTCACATCTGTGTGCACACCAAAAATATACTTCGATTGGTTTTTACTTCCACATGATTGCACCTTCATTTATGATGTTTATAGGTAGGTTGTGAAAAAGATTAACTGACATTATTTTCTGTGTAAACAATTGTTTGGAGTGGTAGTTTTCTAATTGCTACTTAATTTCGACTGTCTGCCGTAAACTAAGCTAAGATTCACTTTCTGTGAACATGTGTGAGCTCGTATATATCATCCGTATTGGGAATTTTTAAAGCATTGGAAGAACTAGTTTGTCAGCTAATATACTATACATCATTTGAGGGACAATATTTTTGGGCGGAAAAGGTGTGATCTTTAAGCTATGATACTCATTACACTGCATTTTTTAGCGGGCACACAAGTCGAGTAGATTTTGTAATGCAACTCATGTTTATATATATTAAGTCATTTTCTTTCCTTTTTATCATTTCAGCAGAGCCTGGGTATTTGTAACAGGATTATTTTGGTTAATGACATCTGTTATACCTATAAGTTTTCTTTTCCATGAACTTGCTGTCTATATACGGCGCCGTTCAAAAAACTGGTAGAATTTCTTAACCGTTTAGTTAATTAACATCTTATACTTTGAATTATTACCCAAAGTTTTGTAACTGAAGTTCTGTGATATCAATTTTTTTCCATAGTGATTACCACAAATTTCACATAGTGGCCTAAATATATAATGAATACGATACCAATGTTTTTTGAGTTTCACCTCCAGCGGTTAAAATGTTGAAAATGCTTAGTAGTTGTTTAATGAATTTGTGAGTTATTGTTTAGCAATAGACAGTATACTTGGGGAGTATATGTCTACTCCTAAAGTTCTTAGATCCTTAAAATACTATACATCCACCTTCGAAGTTATCAGTGAAATTATTTCAATAAAGCACTTTTTAGAGGGATATGATTTATAAAATTAACCCAACATTTATTCTCTTTATAGATCTCGTACTTATTAATTCGCTTTCGAATTCTTTAAGTCTTTCTGCCAAGTATGTGGAAAAAGTAAACTTGAACGACTTGAAAATACAAGCGCACGTTAATTTCATTGTCACTGGTTTGGCGTTACATCCATCAATAAAAATGGTACTTGACAAAAATGCAAAGTTGCATTTGAATAAATCCAGATTCTCCACATGCTAAGATGAGTAGTAAGTCAAAATACATTATACGAAAAATATATGGATGTTCAACCAAAGTGCCTTCAAACTGCTTTGTTGAGTAGTTAACTGGAAACCTCACCATCGATATCTATTACTTTCCCATATTCTCGCTAAAGGAGATTCTGTCCAGAATAATTAACCATGTTCTGAATCACCAGATGCTTTTCCTTAGAAATTTAAAAGTAATACTTGGTGAGCAGCGCTGACGGTAGTGAGACTATAATTTATGGACGACTTCGAGCGACGCTAAAAAGACCTTGAGAGTGTCCACGTACATATTACGTCCAAATCAGTGTTATAAGCCAGTATGGGGAATTACGATTAGTATTTACAGTTGATAGTTAGGGTTAGGAATTAGATTGAAGCTTTTCATCACGAACTGACATCAGCTATAATCCCGAAACTCTTTAGCCACATAAATAAATTAATTTTGCGGCAAAATTTAAGACCTGTTATCGTAAGTCTGATTGATCCGTCCATAAATTATAGTCTCGTCCTGATGGTCTGTTGTCTAAAACGTTTCCAATGATGACCGAATGGTAGAGACAATTAGCCACTGAAGAGCTGCATGGCATAATTAGTAACTCCATCATGGATTACTCCTAATGGTTTGATCTAATATTAAGGAAAACTACCCAAGAATTTTATGCCACATGTCAGTGAGTAAATCATATGGATTACAAACTTGAAAATCAAACGATAATTATAAAATAGTCACTAAGAATACAAAAGATTACTTGCAGGAATAAAAATATAATCCTTTTAGTGGCAAATAATACAAAACTCGATTAATTTAGTTTATTGGGGCTGGTCTGCTGACAGTTTTACACTGGTGAGCGTTCAGTAAGTAGGATTTTTTCTCAAAGGTGAACCATACTATTGATACAGCATCATTTGAATAGTGCTTCATTAAGTACTTATTTTTTACAGCTTGATTTACCTTCAGTAGTGGTACGGGTTAGCGCAATATAATATGCATTAGTTGGACCTTCCTGAGTATCATGGAAACCCAATGGCCCAAGATCGCAATCAGCACACGTTAGGTAACGAAATGTGCTTACGCTGTTTGTAAATCCAACATTTTCAAATGCGTACATATCGTTAACACACCAAAATTCTTCAGTTAGTTCCGTAGGGAATTCTTTGGAGGGATTAGATAGTTCCGATTTTTTAGCAAATACGGGCAAGTTGTGCTAAAAAGAACAGGAGAATACTTCCTTATTCAGACTGTTCCAAGAATAGACGTAGTGTTTCTTTGCTGAATGTGAACTGAGTATTAAACAGAAAATTTAAAATTTATTGACTCCGAAATGTCATTCTATTTGTTGCACAGAATGGTGTTAGGAATTGGTCCCTTTATTGACGTTGAACACCAACAACGGGACAGCAGTTATCTCTACTTGATATAAGCTAGGAATCTTATAATGCGGTTAACAAAGCATCTGGGAACTTGTTAGAAAAGTGTGGTTGCTAAGTGTCAACACCCTGGGATTTTTATATCTTGTCACAAACGCGATGTTAGCAGATGATGGAATTTTTACACTAAAAAGTAGTACAGTGACAATATACTAAAGCAGTTGATGTGACAACCAAGATTGTCTATTGACACTCTGACCTGCTTTTTTCGTAGAATGAATAAGAAATTTTATTAAATGAACAAAAATTGAGGGTGCAACTAAGCTATGCATTCTGTAGGTTTAGTTGGCTTATATATTTTTGACAATCACTAATGCACTTTGACAAATTATGTCCAACCTGTTATATTTGTTTCGTACCAGTGCAAGTTAGTGTTAAATTGAATGAGGTAATCAACTAACAATACATTTTACGGAAAATATTTGAATCACACAGAGACCACAGTTTGTGTGTACCCAAATATCGCTACAACAGAATAAAAGTGTGCGGTTCCCCCTACCAACACACACACACTGGGCAACTAGTTGTTAGCGGGAAATAGACTGGATTAAAGCATACTCAATGCACGATTGCTTTGGTGCATGCTGATTGGCTAATTCTTATCCACTCAGCGCTAGTTGATAGTTGGAGAATACTCTGGAATCTTCTCATGTAAAAACTATAAATATACTAACGTTTTCTCTATTATGCTTTTTTCTTGCTTCCATCTAACCTTGTTATTTGGAATATAATCTCTTTGCTGTTCAACCGTGTTCTGATTTGGGGACTTGTCGAGTGAATCGGTGTCCGAGAATACTAAGCAATAGGAATAGCTGGGGTCGTAACCATAAGAAAGAGATTATAACACTAATAAATTACGGAAACCTTTGCTAAATGAAAGGCCTTGAAAGTCCTGATCATGTGAGTAATAGGATGTGGAGATTTTGGAAAGCTACTTATCGGGTAATCGACTTTTACAATATTCTATCCTGGACCAATGGAGTGCACATCTGCAAAGAAATCTCCATTTACTTATGTAGTGATAAAGGAATATCATGCTCCACTAGAGTAAAAGATTGTAGATTGACATGTAAGGGCTTTTTCGCGCAAAAGTACCTGTGCCGCTCAGTCAAAATCATGATCACCAACATGTCACTTTCAACTCCAATGAAATGTCCAATTGTGCCTGGAAAGGCAGATTTATGAGACGGGCAGGGGGATAGATAATTATCCTGCTCGACAAATAAACAGCAGAGAATATTATTGTAAGGGCAAATCAGTTACTCAGTGCAGTAGCTCATGGTTTATACTAAAGGCGACAATAGTCAACTATTTCTATCACGATCAGTACGCAAAAGCTTTATTGTTGTTGAGTTACAAGATATCAGATAACTCGCATGACTCATATAGTTTAAAATAACTAGTCACCGGTCTTGCACCATTTTAGCCGTTATTTTTTATAAAAATACAATACTAATTGTTTCTTCATAAGGTTTTTACTGAGACACGTTTGTTCATAAGCTGAATGCCTCTCCACTTTTTTGATAGGACCCAGAGTCGGCAAATAATGAAAAATGGGGAATCTGCTAGGATAACATTTGTGAAATACATACAAGCCATCAATTTAGCTACCGTCACTGTGCCCGAACCACAGCATTGCTAACGGCGTCACTCCTGGATGTCAGCAGTCCTTTGGAGAGATTGGGTTTTCAAGCATAGACCAAAACTGCTCCCATTAACTCGTTGTAGACCAACCATCTGCCGCGAGACTAACATCACGATGTCGCTAAAGATGGCCAGGATTGTAATAAGCTCCTCTGGCTTTCGTTATACGTAAATTGATCTCATCACTCACTCCACAACTACTCAGATACACGAACTTTCTAATCCTAACGGCTAATCACCGAGTGAGTACAAAGAAGCACGAGCTCTTGCCAGTCTGGTAGAGGCACTTTGCACTTAAGTGCAAAGAACATACAACACCTACAGATGCTGATTGCCTGAGTATCAACGCGGAGTTAGACAAGATCATTCGCGTACTCAACGTCGGATTCTTCCTACAGGTAAAAAAAACCACACGACCACCACTTACTTCGATTAGGACTGTTAATAGAATTTCATCAGTACCAAGGTTGAAGAGTAATGAAATAGGGAAACACTGTCTAACATCCCTGCTTGAATGAAACAGTGGTAGATGGTTGCATACTCTCACTCTGTCTGATGTTTGTGTATACGGCCCTGAAAGTGTTTTCAAACTTTTCAGACATACTTCTTTTTAACAGACGATCCTAGAAAACGGTCCTGTCCATTACATCGGAGACCGCGACATCAAAAAACGATTGTTGGCCTGAAGTATGTCAGAGAATTAAGCTATGTTCAATGAATCCACAACCCGAACGAAAACCGGACTGCTCCTCGCCAGTCAATTATTCACGGATTCTAAACAGTCTGAGAAGTGCGATAGAAGTAAACCATTGGGGAGCAAATGGGGGAAAACTTATACCCGATATTCGTTGCATAGAATGGGTAATCCCTCTTTAAGATGGGGAAAACGGCTGCTCGGTTTCACTATGTCGGGACACTGTTTCTCAAACCTTTCCGAACAATCTAGTCAGTCCTCTAATTAGAAGTTCTCCACTATCCTTAAGAAAGAGCTGCGGACAAGTCATCTAGACCCGGTGATTTATAGCGCTCTAGGAGTTGGAGTTCCTTGTGGACTCCCGCCTCGTTAAGTTGGTCATTCGTCACCGGTCATGGAGGACAGAACAGTCTGATAGATGTCGCCGGGGTAAGCACTAAGCTGAAGCATAAAGATGGACGATGTTTACCTCAGTGACCAACAACGATGTAGATAAGCAAGGCATCTCTTCATCATCCATCGTTGGAAAAATCCGATAGAAAATTTTTGTTTGTTTCGCAGCACACGTCTAGATTTTGACCATACTTTATTATTAAGCAAACATTTCTACGTGTTCAGTCAAGTCGAGAATGAGTCCAAGAACTGGCTAAGCATGTCGTCGACTACGAAGAAAACATTTCTCCCAAATAAGATTTTATTGATATTCAAACAGTTGTAAATGCAACAGTGATAAGTTTCAGGAGCATAAATCAAAAGGTTTAGAAAGACCAGTGGATTTCGAAACATCCACTAAACTGATGGATGCTCGTAGACTCATCCCAGCAGGCTCAGAGAGCGAGGAATACTACAATGGATTGACAAAAAGCCTACGCGATGATCGTAGTTAGTGGGTGGAAACGAAGCTAAAAGGGATGCAAAATGCAGCAGCAATAGATAATATCAGACAGCTGTTCAGGCTTATCAAGAAAAGCCGGAATTAAATTAAACTATTTTCGAAGATGGAACGGCAGTCGACTCTCAGTTCATGGGAATGAGATGATGACTAGAACACTTTAATGTTCTTAACTGGTCTTCAGCTACTCCCTAGTTATTCATTGTTTCTAAACTACCTGGACGGAAAGTTTAAACAAGTCTCCCAAATCTTAGCGAAGTTGGAAAGTCCATATCTAGATCGCAGCAATGAGGAACAGCTATATCTAATAGATCAAATGTTCAGATACTAAAGTATGGTGGTTCAGTCTAAGCATTTTAATTGACTAAGGTACCAGCTGGTTTGAGGGCTGGACATAGTCCCATCAAGATGATCTCAATCACTGGTCGCCCTATAAAGAACTGAAATTCTCTTGTGATAACCAAAGAGAAGTCTCTGATTTATTACATACAATGTTACGCACCTGATATATTACTAGTTGAGCGTGTCGACCGCTTCACTTATCTTGGAAGTCTCATCAACCCTTGTGGTCTGGTGTGTGACGAAATCTCAGCACGGATACAGAAGGGTCGATTAGCTTCTGCAAACTTGCGTCATTTATGGCGTAGGCGAGATATCCGTCTATCAACCAAAGGACGTGTTTACTGCGCAGCAGTTCGTTCCGTCCTATTTTATGGCAGTGAAACATGGTCCGTAAGAGTAGAGGATATTCGTAGGTTACTAGTATTTGATCATAGATGTCTTCGAAACATTACTCGTATATCCTGGGACCATCGAGTAACGCAGTTGTTAGGAAACGGGTACCAAGTAAGGATGGCAAATCCATTGGTGAAGTAGTAAAACTTCATCAGTTGAGATGGCTGATACGTGTTTCGTATGCCCAACTACCGACTGCCTCGACGAGCGATTTTTTATGGTATATGAGTAGGTTGGAAGAAAGCTAGGGGCGGCCAGATCAAAATATGGCACAAATCCATGAAGTCACTGACAAGTGGACTGAGCCATGTTGGTAGGTGTAGACTACCTGGTTGGGGACCGCGAGATGATAGCAACCGATTGTGCTGAGAATTCTATATTGTACCAAAATATAATATTGAATAAAGCTATTAATAATAATAATAATAGTAATGACATGGCTCAAAATCGTGTCCAATGGTGCAGGTGCATCCACTCTTTGTGTTCTCCCAAAGTCTAATCTCCTGAGTCTACCTTGTCCCCTTTTTTCTCTTTCCAGATTTATTTCATTGGATTATATTCCTTGAATAACATCTTCAAACCCTAATCTTTCCGATTACTGCTTATACTCATACTACCTCTACCACTACGGGATTTGAATCGACAACTGCATCTCTGTGCTAATGTGGTATGACAACTCGAACTGATGTACGTACGTACAAAGTTCTACGTTGTTACTAACTGACTGACTTGTGAAGAATGAACCTAGGAAAATCAAACTGGTTTTAGACCTGTATGTAGATGCACCAATCAAATGTTCAACCTTCGTCAGGTTTCAGAACACAGATATGCTTACCGACCATAGTGGTATTTCCTAACTTGAAGGTAGTATTTGAATCGGTCAAGCGATAGCTCAATATTAAGTAATATTCTTTAAGGTCACGAAATCCCTTTATGCTTATTTGAATTCTTCGTTTAGCTTTTCAAGTTAGATCATCAACTAGATTTACCTATTGAGTTAGAATACGCAAATGACAACTTTATTTACTGATTACATCTGAAGCCAGCCTGATTTTCTCGTGTTTGTAGTTCACAAATTTCTCTTAGGCGCCCGATAATTATTGAGTCTAGTATTTTAGATGCTACATAAGTCAAACTAATACCTCGATGGTTATTACAGGATGGTTTTGACCCCTTCTTATATGTTGGGATGACCAGTAATTGCGACCAGTCAGATGGGATCACGTCTAACTCCCAGATCTTAGCTAAAATATTAGTCAACCTAATCGCTAAGACTAGATCATCATCCTTAAAGACCTCTGGAGTTAATCCGTCTGGATGGTGGGTAGTTATAGAGTAGCTGAAGGCCAGCCGAATTGCTCCTTAAAGTGTTTCATCTATCGTTCTGAACGTCTGGGCTGGGAACAGATAAGTGTCGTCTTTTTCCGAGACAGTCTCACTTACATTTGGCTTCTTGATTCTAGTTTCTTCTATGAGTCTGAAGAACTGTCTTGTTGTTCTTGGAATCTCAGTCACTCAGTCAGTAACAACGTAGAACTTCGTACGTACGTATATCGGTTCGAGTTGCCATACCACATTAGCCTAAAGATGCAGTTGTCGATTCAAATCCCGTAGTGGTAGAGGTAGCAAGAGTATAAGCAGAAATCGGAAAGATGTGTGATGTGTCCCAACTTGAGTCTATGGGTTTTTGTGAGGCATTCTACACTGATATATCGAATTATTCATCTGGTGTATAATTACTGAACAGGGACGTTACAGTGAGAGAAAACTAATGTTAGATTTTAAAATTCTTACTTGTTTGTTGGCTAGCTTTGCTGTATTCTTGCGAAGAACAATACTGGAACATCGCGGACAAAGAATGTTGAATTGATTGTATCCATTCTGAGTTATTTGATCATTAGCGTCAGTTGAGTCACAAAATCTGACAAATCTCAGTGTAAGTAAAACACTTAACTTACTGTACAGACGACATTCAGTGAACTTTATTGTGGTAGACAAAACGTCTTAGTAAACTGCAATAAAATTTCATAAACGATTGAAAAGTTATTGCCGATTCATACATTACCGTGATTTACATTGATCAAGCAAAGTAAAGAATTTCACTTAACCTCGATAAGACATGTGATTCCACATTTCCAAGTTGAATATTTAATGAATTCACTTAATCACTACGTTATGGATTTAATTCAACAGACTATGGTACAGTGATTAATGATTGCATCGAAGGTAATGTTCACACCTTGTACGCAATCACTTGGTTGAATTCATATTACATAACCAGTTTTCCTTTTAGGTCCCTTAATAAGAAATATCCTTTCACGGTGTGGAAGAATGGGAAGGTACAACCACCACTAGATACTCGAAAGGTAAACAGCTCCAATTGCTCATATAAACGAGGTGAAGTCAAATGGATGGCTGTTCTGGGATCGTTTATGTGCGTTTCGCAGACAGCACACATCGATCGCACGAGATTCTGAAGTCAGCCAAAAAACAACATCCAATCAGCTATAACGTAGGACCAGTTAAATATATATATTGATCCAAGTTGTCATACCTCATTAGCACAACACTATGAACAACAAATTCATAGCTGTTAACTCACTGGTATTAAAAATCAGCTACGTTAATTCATATTATTAGTTTAGGCACTGATGCAAATATGTCTTGAAGTAATAATATGGAATTGGAGCGGGAAACATTCATTCTGAAAAGGCTAGGAATACTGTCAAAGGCGATTAAGAAACGTTGAGTTTCGTCGGTCTTCACAAAATAGAGCTACGTGTTACCCATGGAGTTAATCCATTTGGATGGTGGGTAGTTATAGAGTAGCTGAAGGCCAGTTGAACTGCTCTTTAAAGTTTTTCATTTATCGTTGTGAACGTCTGGGCTGGGAACAGATAAGTGTCGTCTTTTTCCGAGACAGTCTCACTTACATTTGACTTTTTGGTTCCAGTTTTCTTATTAGTCTGAAGAACCGTCTTGTTGTTCCTGGAATCTAGTTTCGGCTTTCTCATCACTCAATTAAATTCTAATGTGTCTTCTTAGTATGGCTTTTCCGCGTCGAGTGAGGCGCAAGCAAGTGCGTGCTCGTATTATGGCATGATCAGAGTCTAAACATGTACTCCAGAACGAGCGGTAGTCTTCTATCGAGCCTCTCCTGCGATAACTGATGGCTATATGGTGTATTTGAGTCCATCGTTTGTTTGGTGCAGGGGGTCGCCATGTTAAACTATGTCTCTCCTTATGCTTTAAATTAGTGCTTGCTAAAAATAAACGATTGTCTGAGCACAGTTGCAACAGACGATCACCATTATCTATTCATTGAGCCAAAATACCCATCTAAATTTCCTTCTGTTTGGTTTAACCTACCTATATACCTGGGCATTAAATTCACCTGCTACGAGTACTATGTCTGAGCGTTTAGCTTTATGAAGAAGTTCAGAAAACTTTCTGTAAAAGCCATCTTTCACTTCATCCAGGCTGCAGTCAGTGGGAGCGTAGGCAGAAACGACGAAAACGCAACGACGTGTGTCCCTATTCTTCCAAATTCATACGCAGCCGTTTAGCCGAACAGCACATAGGCAACTGTTAACGGGAATCCACTCTAATAGTGCTTGTTCCGCCCTCGTACTTAGTGCTATGCCTACGACCGTCAGTCCACGAGAACTAATCATCGGATCGCCAGATACACTGAGGGTGTATCTCGTCGGCTCTCCGTTTTGCCGAGGTGAGGTCAAGTGAATGGCCACACTAGGATCCTGTATACGTGTTTCAGAGACGTAGCATACATCAATGGTACGAGGTTCTAGGGTCTTAGTCAAGGAGGCCTAGTGGCCGACTTGAATAAGGTGCGTACGTTAAAGGCTCCAATGTGTAGTTTGGAGGGAGGTTTCAGTAGACCTGGAACAGTTTTGCGCACTAGGACCGTTGGCCATGCTGACACTTGAGGAGGAAGCCAAAAGAGGAAGTCTAGTGTTGAAGGTCGATGTATGAGGAATTATAGGAACTGGAGGGGTTGGTGATGAATACAGTGGTCTTAAGGGCGGTTATCAACTCCCGGTTGCCCACACCGTGGACAGTTTCTTTTGGAGGTACCTGAAAGGGGAATTGGATTAAAGGTGGTCTTAGTGAACTGAGAGCGTGACCCCAGTGCCCAAAGGACAACTGCCTGAGATCGGTCACGAACGACGTTTTCGCGGGCAGGTTTTGCGTTAGCTGCGTACTTGTTGGGAACTTACCGACGGAGAAGGGAATCCACGGGATTTGGCGAAGCGTGCATTTTTTAGGTTGTCCTTTTCTAACCCCACCCTTCCTTTGTGGGAAGGCAGCGTCGCTGTTATGCTGGTTGTCTGAAGGAAACACCTTACTGCCGTCACACCTCTGTACAGTAAGAGTACGACTTCGCCTTCGGACCTTGGGTTTGTTGCTTTTACCGCTCTTCAACCGACCTGTCTGGCATGGTAGGACCTTGAGGAACGATTGTTGCAGCCAGTATATTTCGATTGCTTCATCACGATAGGCAAGCCTGACTACCAAGTCAAGGTAGCAACAATGATCTGGTAAAAAAAACTGGCCGGCTTATGTGACAAGTTTAGACCATATGAGGTTCCAATATGTGGTTTCGAGCGTGGTTTCAGAAAATATTAAGTTGGGGGTTTCGATCGTGAGAAAGATGATCTGGGGTCTTGTTAAAGTTATGAAGATGGTTGTCACTTCTCGGCTGTCCACACCGTGTAGGATATTTCTTATTGATGGACTTAATAAGGAAACTGATTTATTGATAAGGCCTTTCGAAGTGCAGTGCTGACATATCAAAAACACCCCATAAATAGACCGTGTGTGACTTGCCTCAAGCATTTTTTTTCTTAGGTTCTGCGTTCGTGCACCCAAAACATGGCATCAGTTCATGAAGTCATAGATAATTAAACTTGGGCATTTTAATTGGTGTAGACCACCTATTTGGAGTATGCATGATTACCGTAGCCGATGGTTCTAGACTGTGAATGAAATTGCTCAGAATCGTTTCGAGTAGTGTAGGTCAATCCATTCAGTATTTCATCGAATTCTCAGACTATAAATTCCTCACTACATTATTTGTCTTTATCTCACTAATTTATGTTTTCTCGATTAGTATTTCCGATGCCTAATCTTCCCAATTACTACTAACGTTGTTACTAACCCTACGGTTCTTGGATTTGGATCTGACAGTTTCATCTCGGTGTGCTAATGGGGTATAGCAACGTGAACCGATGTACATAAGTATCAGGTTCTACGTTGTGTCTGACTGACGTAATAAACCAAAATAAATACACAGCTTGACTATTTCTAAATAGGGCAGAAAAATATGTTTCTCTTTCATTTTGACAGTAAAATAAAAACTAAGTTGATCTAAATGATGTGATATATTTACGTCATACGTTTCGAACAATCTGATCACAAATGTATTTCTCAAGGCATTTATGTATAAAAACTGACAAAGATCAATCAAACATGAGTCCAAATAAATATAGGGTGGTAAATGTAAATAAAATAAAAAGGATTAATATGAAGAGAATGGGAATTGATCACGATAATCTAGGTCGTAGAAAGTTTTAAGGATTACCAGTGCATAATACGGGTTACAATATATTGACTCTTCACGTGAAAAGGGAAATTGGATTCACGAATAGCCAAGACTCTTACAAACCTAGGAACTCGACCTTAACATCCGTATGCTTTGCAAGTTGTAATGATGTCCATTCTATCGACTGTTTTAACTGTATGCTTTGCTATTGCTGAAAATGGTTCTTCACTCCGTTTTTGCTTGGGTAACTGGCATTAATTGGTTTTGAATCTATCTAGGCGTATATTTTATAAACCCTAATAAGATTGCTCAGTTACCTCTCTCTATTTACGTACTCATACAAACATATAAATCGGCATATGCAGTAAGATACGACGTAGCCATCTGCATTAAGTCTAAGTCTGTATGAAATCATGAGCTTAATTTTCTGAATTATAAGCAATTTAGAAGTGCAACGATTCATCGATGACAAACTAGCCATTGCCTTAAACTATGCAGCTTGTCTCTCTTTCTTCCCCACAGAACTAAAGCACACACAGAAGGCAAACAGTACCAAATCATTCTAACTTTCAGTTACGCCTCACTACCAAGACGTCTACTCACGACATCAGTAAGCTTTTTAAAGGTAATCTCAAGTTACGAGAACTGGAATACAGCTGCACATAACACGGACACTTGTGTTAGCAATAATCTCAGGCAATCTCCCCATTTCTAATTTAAGATGTAAACTCCTTAATTGACAACAACAGGTTTAGAATGCCCTGTAGTACGTACAAAATCGGCTATGTTGATCCGGTGTTCATCTTGTTGTGCTGATGCGGTATGGCAACCTGGACCGATGCACATATGTGCCTGGTCCTACGTTGTAGCTGAATGACTGACTGACTGATGTTGACCCACGATACTAGACATTACAGGAGCTAAGCCACCCCATAGAACTCTTGGACACCCAATAGCCTGAGACATCATCTCGTCATCTTTAGCTCTTTCCTCATAAGTAGCGCGTCTATGCAGTCATCCACTGTTGAAAGCAACATCTCCATTTTTTTAAGGTTATTCTACATATACTCCAATCAAAAATTGACAATCCCCTCTCCTTAATAACAGCTGCTCCCAGCCCCAAGAAATATGTTGACCAACCTTTCTGACTAAGTTCGCCAACAGCTCATTCAACGGACCCCACTTCACCCGTCACCCCCAACCTTGTCTCACGTCACTTCCTCATTCGACATGTTGACCATATACTAAACGATAAACATAAATACAAAGCTGACTGCTTAAATAGTTATCGAACCAATTCCTTACTTATTGAACTAGTCGGTGATTTAGCCAATTTCATTATAGTCACAGCTTTCCATTATTTCATTAGCGGGTAGGAACTGTGGAGATTTCGATATTACCTAGTGTAT